CCCCCCGTCCCCCAACGGGCTTAGTTTAAAGCCCGGTGGAATAGGTCAGCCAGTCTGGCTGAGAAGAGCCTCCTCCCTAGGGGAGAGAGGTGGAGGCCATCTCTTCCCAGCAGCTCGCTGCCTCTCTCGCCAAAGAGCGGGCTGTGGTCATGAAAGCCAAAGCCTTCCTGATGACACCAGCGCTGCAGTCTTTGGTTGACCACATAGATCCTCCTGTCCCTTCTCAGCCCATAGCCTGATACTGGGAGGATCGACGAGAACACTACCTGTGCCCCCAGACCCTTAAGCCCTGCTCCCAAATCCCTGTAGCACCTCATGACCCGGCTGGGAGTGCTCCGAGCAGTGTCATTGGTGCCCACATGAATAAGGAGCATGGGATAGTGGTCTGTGGGTTTAAGGAGCTTTGGGATCCTCTCCGTAATGTCCCAGATGCGGGCCCCTGGGAAGCAGCAGACTTGCCGGGCTAAGGGGTCGGGGTGGCAGATTGGCCCCTCAGTCCCCCTCAGGAGGGAGTCTCCCACAACAAACACCTTACGTTTTGTCTTGGGGAGAGCAGGGGCAGTAGCTGCAGTTCGGCCCAAGTTGCCTGTGGGAGCTGGCAACTCAGCAGGCTCTGCTGGGGCAGCAAGAGGTGTGTACCTGTTGCTCAGTTCTGTACTCGATTTTGTACTCGATCAATTATAGATGAGTAATAATATATCTAAATTAATGTATTTATATTGTAAATAGCAATCATTGATTTGGAAGGAGTTCTTTGAGGTGTCTTTACTGGACTTTTTGAAGGGCTCTTGGTTGGACTCTTGAAGGGTTCTTGGCTGGAGTCATCTCAGGAGTCTTGGCTGTAAGTTTTTCTGGAGTCTTGTTTGCGTTCTTAAAGAAAGTGTCCAAGCAAGTTTGGACAGATGTTCTCCAGGCAAATGAGCAACACAGCGAACTTATTCACTGGTGTGGCGTCGCATTGGATCAAGTGTTGTAAGTCAAAATTGACGTCATAATATTAAAACAGTGTCAATTTATAAACGTAAGTCAAAACTTTGTAAGTCGAGGACTGCTTGTAGTATCGGTGAATTAAGCTGAAAATTTCTAGTGCATAGCAGAGGACACGTGCCATAAAGGCCACCCCACATCAAATTTCAGATCTCCATTTCAGAGTATGGAGGCACTGAGCTTCGCATAGAAAAAGTTTCTAGACTTTGGATATAGGCAAAACCTTTCTCTCTCCCTCCCCCTGCCCCAACTTCATTCCTGGAAATAATTTTATCACTGTGGCTCCCTCTACTTGCCTTACTATGGAGGTTGCAACATTGTGGTATTTTATAGGAGTTACTCCACCACAAGTAGCCCCACCATGTAGCCACCAAACCCTTTGGTCAGATGCAGTTTATGGTCATACCCAGGACTGACAGCAATTACATTGTTAGTCTAAATCTACAGTTCTCAACCAGGCAGCCATGGCACCCAGAGATGCTATGCAATCTTTATGAGGGTGTCATGCAGTATTAGCAGCTGAGACAGATACTTGACAAAGGGTGGTCTCTGGCTGCTTTTATTAAGTGGTACTACTTATTCAGCATTTACTTGATAGTGATGATCACTTTTTATGAAGTAGTAGGTGACCTTTTCTTTTCTTTTCTTTTCTTTTGTAGCATTGCTTCTGGAAGTACCTGATAGTGGATGAAGGTCATAGGATTAAAAACATGAACTGCCGTCTTATCAGGGAATTAAAACGGTTTAATGCTGACAATAAACTTCTGTTAACTGGTACTCCCTTGCAAAACAACTTGGCAGAGCTTTGGTCTCTGCTTAACTTCCTGCTCCCAGATGTGTTTGATGATTTGAAAAGGTAGGCCACAGTCTAATAGTTCAGAAACAATAATACAGTACACCAAGTATTTTAATTAACACATGTATTTAAGGTACATGGTTGTCAAATCTACTATATCTCATAATTCTGTGATGAAAAGAATTTTCTTTTTAATTTTACTTTCTGTAAAGACATCTTTCATACCTGTGGTGCTTTTCAAGCATAACCCTATATTTGGTGTTGAGACTGGTTTAGGTAATAAAGAATAATGTGCATGGAATAACTTGAGGGGGGGGCGGGGGGCAGTTATTTGAGCTGGAGGGCCGCTTAGAGTTTGGGTGAGCTGTCCCGGGCTGGGTCCACCCCTCCCCACAACTGCTCGCCAAACACGGAAATACAGCGTGGCACTGGGAATACGGTGTGGCATAGAGGAGGGGAAGGGGGGCCAGGAGCCATGGTTTATCTGGGCCTAGATGAGTTGGTACTGAACTGTTTCCTCTTCTCCCCCCGTTCCCCCAGGCCCCAGTCTCTGGTATGCAACGCAGCCAGGCCAGGCTGGTGCTGCACTGTGTTCCCACATGACGCTTTTGGCCGCATGGGTGCAGCTGGCTCAGCTCATGCCTGGCACGGCTCATGTCAGACCTGGCCGCATGCTGGGGACTTGGAGTCAGGCAGAAACCATGCCAGCTGCTCCCAACTATGCCCAGATGTCATGGCCCAAAGCACCATGAGGGAAGACACCACAGCACTGCATTAGCAGTGCCTGCGTCCCTACTAGACACTGGTCTGGCAGGACCTAGATAACCTGTGGCTCCTGGCCCTCTTCCTGCTGCACGCTCTCCCCCACCAGTAGGGAGAACCTTACCTGAGCTTTGACACACAGGGGTCAAGGCTATCTAGTCTGTGAAAGACCATAGGGTCAGAACTGCGCAGAGACAGCCTCGCCAGGCAAAAGCCTGGCCAGGAGCTCAGCACCCCCTTCTTTGATGCATACATAGGCACAAGGCAGGGAAGGGAGTGGCAGCTGCTGCTACTGCTGCAGCCAGTTATGTCACAGGGCAGAGAGAAAGGCAAGAGGTGCTGAAAGCCAGTTTAGCTGCAGGCTAGGTACAGTTCTTCAGAAGAGCAGCTGCATGTCATGTAGAATCATTTGGCAGGCCAGGTCCATCCTGTGGGCCATATTTTGCCCACCCTTAGAATAACTGCTTGTTTCTCTCTCTGTTTCTATAGCTTTGAATCCTGGTTTGATATTACAAGCATTACAGAAATAGCTGAAGATATTGTTGCTAAAGAAAGGGAGCAGAACATCTTGCATATGCTGCATCAGGTCTTTAATTTAAAATTGTTCTCACTGATATTTGGGACTCGTTCTAAAGTTTTACTGCACCATTAATACTGAGTATGCTTAAACTCCATTGACAAAGTATTGGAATAGATTTATTCTTGACAGTTGATATAAAGGCCAGACTTGTTTGTTGGTTTTAAAACCTTGACACTGTTGTACTTTCGTTACTTGTTGTTGAACCTTTTTAGTATTAGAAAGTCGCATGAGTGATGCATCTCTTAATAATATTTTTGTTTTATCTTCTGAATTGAGCAGAGAGTTCAGGAAATGAAAACTAATTAACTTTCATGTCTTTTAATACTTTTCTAATATATTAAGTCTTTAGTTTACCTTGCTTAGTTTCTAGCAATAAGATTTGTTTCATTTTGTAAATGACTTGATTATAGGAGTGCTGCTTCTGATATTTCACAAATAATGTGTTTGCTACTATTATAGTCATGTTCTGGTATTCTAGCTGTCTTTGTTTACCCCAGGATTGTCATTGGTTTGATTCCTTCTTCAAAGGCAAAACCAAACTGCTATTAAAATGGTATCGTTTCTTTAAAAAAAACAAAACAACAACAACAAAACAAAACAACCCAGTGCTTGAAAACAGTTGCTGCTCTCTTCCTAGTCTAAGTCTAAGGGAGTAATGTTTATCTCCCAGATATGTTATGTGGTAAATGAACAGATGCTTATTCTTAGCTGACAAAGATGTTAATGTAGTTAGGATGCTACTTTGTCATTGTGTTAAGATCAGGTCCACATAGGCCAGGGAACTGCTTTGATGTAGGGAGTGGAACTTGCAGAATAATTTGTTTTAAAATGCTTGTAAAAGTGACTATGGCACGTATTCACCTCTTGTAAAAATGTATGTTTTAAATCCTTAATAGCATCCTGTGGGTGGTGTTCACCAGCCGTCCCTGCAAGCTAAACAAGTGGGTCAGGGTGGTCCTCAGGCCAGTTCTAGTATGAGGCTAGTGCACAGAGTTAGTCTGCGGGTGTAGACTCCACATGCTGGATCCAGCCACCGCTTGGCCCCCACACCAGTGCGTGGGACCACATTCAGCCTCCAGAGATTTTAACACTATTGGCATAATGTATTCTAAATACTGGAAGGCACTCCCTTTCCCAGCTTTCTGTAGCTTATAATGTAGGACTTAAGGGGTGAATTAACTCTGCATCAAACAAATTGGCACAGTTCTATTGAAATCATGAAACTGCAGTGCCAGCTTAAAGTTTTACCCTTACTTCTTTAGAGATTGTGATATCTTTTTGTTTAAATTCTAGATTTTGACACCCTTCTTATTGAGAAGACTGAAATCTGATGTAGCTCTTGAGGTCCCTCCTAAACGAGAAGTTGTGGTGTATGCACCATTGACAAAGAAGCAAGAAACCTTCTATAAGGCCATAGTAAACCGGACCATTAGAAAACTGCTTGGGAACAATGAGGTACCTACTAATAAGGACTTAAATGTATAAAACCCATACTTCCTGTTAATGGTTCATGAATGCAGCTACCATAGCTTTGGTCCTGCAGTTGTAATTCCCAAAACACTATTTGTTTGTTATTAACCAAATCAGCTGTAATTAAGCAAAAGTTGGTGGTGGTGGTAGTGGCTGTTGTCAATGAAAATGTATGGCCGCTAACTTCAGTGAGAACAGAATTAAACATATATATGTGAACATAAATTTAAAGAGATGTTCTTATTGGCTAGCTGTAGCGCAAAACAAACAGAATGGTATTTTTGTATGTAATGGTTAACTGCCCCTCCTTTTACTTCAAGTATTGGTAAAAATGGTGCAATAAGCTTTAGGGCAGTGGATACATGTGCATTTCTTTAAAAAGTACAAAACATAGCAGATCTAAAAAACATGGCTCTAAAGCTAAGGACCTAGAAAGAAAGGGCAATTTTACGAATTTGTAATTCTTATGGTGTTTTCTAGTTTACTACCCTTAATAGATTTTAAACAGGAAGATTTCAGACAATAACTTTTTAGGTCAAGGATTAAAGATAGTTAACTTTTTAGACTGTAAATGCTGCAAAATGGTATGTTGCTTACAGTGTTTTCACTAACTGCATGTATATTGAGGGTGCTGGGTCAAATCTGAGACACCTTTTTTCCCCTGTGATCAACACTAGCTTCCTATCACTATTTGTATCATTTTCTACAGAAAGAAGTGGTTGAGTTGAGTCCTACAGGCCGACCAAAGCGCCAGAGTCGAAAATCCATTAATTATCGTGAAATAGATGAAATAACACCCGATGATATGGAAAAACTGATCAGCAAAATGCAGGAGGAAGTAGAAAAAGAGAGGTGCCTATTTAGAAACAAAAGGGTTCTTTTGAACATTTTCCATATGTCTACAATTGAACTTTGTAGTAGATTTGAAACTAAGTAACAAGACAAACGTCAAGATAAATGGAAAATATATGCCATGATACATTAACTTTCCTCCGTAGTCACTGCTTTACTAATTCTGAAAATCTTGAGTCATCAGGTAAACTGTACTGTACTTGTAGTGCATTGACATCTTGCTATACTAATAAGATTGTGTGTCTTTGCAAGGCCAGTGATAGAAATGAGCATTCCCATGGATTCAGAAGTTAACCTTAAGATGCAGAATGTTATGATGTTACTGAGAAAATGCTGTAACCATCCATACCTCATTGAATACCCACTGGACCCTGCCACACAACAATTTAAGGTACATATTGTGCAGCAATTACAGTAGTGTTAGAAGAAAAAAGTTAAATGCCTTTTAAGTGCTGGTGATTTGGCTTTGGACTAAATACTAGAAAGTGGTTTTATCTGTGTCTTCATATGGCAAAGTATCCCCAAATCCTACCAGTGTGATTCAGTCTTGTGAGAGGGAGTAGATGCCTGTTCAGTTTTTGCTGCCAGCTGCAAGGGACGTTGTTTCTTGTGATGTGTATGCCTTGGAACTAAAGAGCTGTGAGCTGGTGTAAAACTGGCCTTTTCCCATTTGACTCCCACAGAACTGGGAGAACAGCTGAGGACCTGGCCTTGAAACAGCAAGTACTTCTCATGCATTTGCTTTCAAACCTGAAAGTGTTGACTCCTACTATGAAATGTGTATGATAAGGGTTGTGTGTTCCAGAGAATACAGCCAAACCGTATTTTCTTCTAAACTGGTACATGTTACAAAATTACCATCTCAGGTCAGCATCTAACACTCGCTCAAAGAAAATATAAATATATCAAACATGCATTATGGGCACGTTTAAAAGTTTTATCTTAAATAAATAAGTTTGTAATAGTGCAGCATCGGAAGGAATTTGGGGTGAAAATAAATCATAAACTTTACCCTTTCTTGCACGTGGGTGCGCATGTACCTCCTGCAAAAAGCACCGCCAACGCTGCAGGCGGCACCTACGGGCGGCCGCTGCTCGCCACCACTCCACCCCCACCTCCCCCTCCCGCCACCAATGCTGCCAGCGGCATCTGCGAGTGCTCGTCACCCCTCCTCCCCCACCAGCCCGACACCACCATGGCTGCCTATGGGAGCTTACCACCATCTGCGAGTGGTCACTGTGCCCCCTCAGCCTCCGGGAGCACGCAGCGTTCATGACTTAATCCATCAATAATAACCAAAAGAGTACATTCAAAAGTAGTCTTCCAAATAAACACAAGCTTGACTTCTGTAGGGTTGAAACCATTATTATCACAGTGTAAGATAGTCAAATCAGCAATCTATTGTTGATACAACCTAACATTCTCTAGATGGGACAAGAATGGAATATAGGATTAGTCAGATATATATAAAATGCTGGAGTGCTGTGTAGCTAATTGCTTCTGCTGAAGGCCAGTGCCACATTGTTAAAAAGTGTTGTTGGTAACTAATCAGGGGCTGCAAACTTAAGCCAGTGCTTTGTAGCCTGAGGTTCAGCAACTTGAAGTTCAGTGTACTGACTGTCAACCCTGTACAGTGAGGTAGGAAATCTTATTTCTGCTTTGTGAAAAGTTCATTAGAAGCATCTTCCATTGAGAAACAGAATGAGAATCTTTCTCACCAGAGTGTTTTATTTATATATTTATATTTGTGTGTGTGTGTATAATAAATCCTTGATTTCATCTAAAAAAAAATTTTAATAAAAAAAGGTTCTAATTGGCTCTTATCTCTAGCACCCAAGTCAAAACCTTGGTTTGAAATGTACATATGCACAATTGCCCTTTCTTTTCTGTATTTTAAGGTTGATGAAGATCTAGTGAAGAATTCAGGCAAATTCCTGCTCTTAGACCGGATGCTTCCAGAATTGAAAAAAAGGGGACATAAGGTAGTTTTGTTTTCTGTATTTACATTGTAACAAGTGTTGCTTTTCATTTTTCCCCTCTGATAAGTATACTGAAGACTTTTAACTATTTTAGGTGCTGTTGTTCTCACAAATGACAATGATGTTGGACATTTTGATGGATTATTGCTATTTAAGAGATTACAGATTTAGTCGTTTGGATGGATCCATGTCCTATGCAGAGAGAGAAGAAAATGTAAGTAATCCACCCTTAAGCATTTAAGCTAATTGTACCGATTCATCTAAGAACTAATATGCAGCATAAAACCAAACTGCTCCAAAAGACAAAAAACTGTTTAATGGGGTAGTCGTGAGTGCGGTATCACTGGATCAGAAAACTGCAAAAAGTCTGGGGTATGCCTACACTGACAAGTACCCACCCAAATCATAGCATCTCATAGTTAGGGTTGGGAGGGACCTCAGGAGGTCATCCACTCAAACCCGCTGTTCAAAGCAGGACCATCCCCAACTAGATCATCCCAGCCAAAGCTTTGTCTAGCTGGGTTTTGAAAAGCTCAAAGGATGGAGCTTCCACCACTTCTCTGGGTAACCTGTTCCAGTGTTTTACTACCCTCCTAGCAAGAGAACTCTTTCTAATATCTAACCTAAACTTCTCTTGCTGCACCTTGAGATTGTTGCTCCTTGTTCTATCATCTGCCACCACTGAGAACAGTTTAGCTCCATCCTCTTTTGAACCCCACTTCAGGTAGTTGATGGCTGCTATTAAGTTCCCTCTCAGTCTCCTCTTCTCAGTTACCTGTCTTTCCTCGTAACGTAAGTCATGTCCCCCAACTGTCTTTGTTGCTCTCTGCTGAACTGTCCAACTTGTCCATATCCCTTCTGTAGTGGCAGGCCTAAAACTGGACACAGTATTCCAGATGTGGCCTCACTTGTGCTGAATAGAGGGGAATAATCACTTCCCATTACCTACTGCCAACACGCCTACAAATGCAGCCCAGTATGCTGTTGGACTTCTTGCCAACAAGGACACACTGCTGGCTCATTCAGCTTATTGTCCACGGTAACCCCAGGTCCTCTTCTGCAGAGCTGCTGCTCATCCAGTCATCCCCCATCCTGTAGTGGTACATTGGATTGTTTCATCCTGAGTGCAGGATTTTGTACTTGTCCTTGTTGCACCTCATGAGATTCCTTTTGGCCCAAACCTCCAATTTGTCTAAGTCACTCTGAATCCTAGCCCTACCCCCCAGCATATCTATTAGTCCCCCAGCTTTGGTGTCATCTGCAAACTCACTGTATGCCATCTTCCAAGTTGTTGATGAAGACATTGAACAAAACCAGCCCTATGGCCGATCTCTAGGGCACTCCACTTGATACCAGCTGCCAACTAGACATCAAACCACTGATTACTGCTCTCTGAGCCCAGTGCTCCAGCCAGTTTTCTATCCACCTTACAGTCCATTCATCCAGCCCGTACTTCCCTAGCTTGCCTTCGAGAGTGTTGTGGGAAACCATATCAAAAGCCTTTCTAAAATCCAGGGCATTCCACATCCACCAGTCTCCCTGCATCCACAGAGCTACTTGTCTCATCATAGAAAGCAATCAGGTTGGTCAGGCATGACTTGCCCTTGGTGAATCCATGCTGACTCTTCCTAATCGCCGCCTTCTCCAAGTGCTTAGAAATGGATTCCTTGAGGATCTACTCCGTGATTTTTTTCAGGGACTGAGGTGAGGCCGAGTGGTCTGTATTTCCCTGGATCCTCCTTTTTTCCTTTTCTTAAATATGAGCACTGTTTGCCCTTTTCCAATCATCCAGGACCTCTCCGGATCACCATGAACTTTCAAAGATGATGGCCAATGGCTCTGCAATCACATCAGCTGCCTCCCTCAGCACCCTCGGGTGCATCTCATCTGGCCCAGTGGACTTGTACACGTCCAGCTTTTCTAAGTAATTCCTAGCCTGTTCCTTCACCACTGAAGGCTGCCCACCTCCTCCCCAAACAGCTGCCTGGTGCAGTTGTCTGGGAGCTGACCTTGCCTGTGAAGACTGAAGCCAAAAAAGGCATCGAGCACTTCAGCCTTTTCTGCATCCTCTGTCACAAGGCTGCCTCCCCCACACTTTCCTTGATCCTCCTTTTGCTACCAACATACTTATAGAAACGTTTCTTGTTACCCTTCACATCCCTTGCTAGCTGCAACTCCAATTGTGCTTTAGCCTTCCTGACTTCATCCCTACATGCCCAAGCAATACTCTTATTTTTCCCTAGTTTGTCCAAGTTTCCATTTCCTTATAAGCTTCCTTATGTTATATAGCTCAACCCACATACTTGAGTGTGTCACTTTTTTTCATCCATGTTTTGTCATTGGTGTCAAGCCCAGCTTACCTGCATCTGTGCTGTCCTCTTTGGAACTTTTGTGTAGGGGTGTATCATATCATAGCAAGTGAAATTCATCTGGGAATCGGCCTGTGGAACCAACCACTTTTTCCCAGAACAGTCCCGAGTATAGAAGTTAGTTTAGCCTATTCTTGAATGCAGCCATCAGAAGCACAGCACACCGCTCAGTTTGGCCCATATGTGGTACTGTCAGACAACCATTGTAATGCACAAAAGAGACTGGAGGAACGGGCTTGAAGAGACACATATGCCTGATTTGGTACTTGGAGAAGCACCAACATGGTGAGAGACTATCTGCATTGGTGCCTGTACGTGGTACTATGAAGAGGCCTAGCCTTCCACACGAATGGACTTCAGTGCTCCCTAACCAGAACTCTCCATGGGGGCTTGATCCTTACTCAGACCTCTTGTCTGCAAGAGGCTTTCAGGTTCTGAGACTTGTTAATCACCACTGTGAGCAGTCACTTGGAGAGTTCCTGGTCTGTCCTATCTGTATGGCCTCTCTCTTTCCAAAGCCTCTCCAAGCTCTTGTGTTCCCTGTCTTCCAATACCAGAAGTAGCTGCCTGAATTCCACACGTCTTGTGCATTTTGGACGCAACACAATGTCATCTACAACATGCTTTCCTACTATACCATTTGTATGCTCAGGTTTTGTGTTGTGAAGACTTGCTCTTAAATTTTAAAGTACCTGCAATGGGAAGAACACCCCTCCTCCCCACCACCACCAGTCCATTCAGTACCCTTTTTTAATGTAAGCAGCATAATTCCCCCAGATGACTCCTGTTACAGGGACACAGCTTGCAACTTTTAGCATTTTTCATGTCATCCATCTTATTTGCAAGACCAGCAGTCCAGAGGTAGAAAGTAAAAAATTATCAAGGCAGAAACGGATCACATCTTGGTAAGTGGTAAGGATTTTAACTCCCTTCATTTAAAAAATGCTTACTTTCCGAGGACAGTAATTTGTCTTTGTGGTACAACAGAGGGAGTTGGAAAGTGCACAAAGACTGGGAAGAACGCTGATGAGCTGTAGAAGTAACTGCCACTAGAATGAGATCTGCAAACAATACTCCCATAACTACCACCACCTGTGCTGGTCTTACTGAAGAAGAATCAATTGGTTTGGACTTTATCACTGAATGATTAAGCAACTTAACTTCAAAGCTACAGGAAGCTCAATAGAACCTTTGCCATGAAACCTCAGTTGCCTCCCATGCTGATACAGCTCCCATGAAGGCACACTACCAAGGACGATACAAACCTCTGTGGAAATAACACTAACAAATTACCCACTAAAAGGGCCGTATAATTAATAGGCCAAGTCATAATTTTATTTTTATAAAATATATCATAGAAGATTTAGGGTTGGAAAGAACCTCAGGAGGTCATCTAGGCCAACCCCCTGTTCAAAGCAGGACCATCCACAACTGTATCATTGCAGACAAAGTTTTGTTTAGCCAGGTCTTAACCTCAAAGGATAGACATTCCACAACCTCTCTGGGTAACCTGTTCCTGTGCTTTACTACCCTTCTAGTGAGTCTTTTCTAATATCTAACCTGAACTTCCATTGCTGCACCGGAAACCATTGCTCCTTATTCTGTCTTCTGCCACCATTGAGAACAGTCTAGCTCAATCCTCTTTGAAACCACCTGTAAGGCAGTTGAAGATTGCCATTAAATCCCCTCTTAGTTTTCTCTTCTCCAGACTGCATCTTCCTTAGAGTTGCATGACTGTAGTCAGTGGCCATTTGGTGCTTGAAGCACTCAAGTGCCTCACTGAAGTCCAGGTATAAACGGTATAAGGCTGGGGTATCACTGGACTTCTGCTTCCTATCTTTTGCAGCCTTACACATCTCTGTTTGCTAGATTTGCTCTCAGTACTGCAGTGTTGTCCAGTGCATGTCAAGCTGAGCAGGCCACTTCAAAATGACCTGGTAGTGTTGGATGCTTCTATTGTAGCTGAAATCCTGGTCCTCGTGCACCTTCCAAGCACTAGCAAAGATTCAACTGTACTACTTTTTTCAGTCAGTTGCATTCTGGGAACAGCTGATTGGACTGACTAGGGCTGCATTTGCCCCTGTGAAATCAATTTATAGATCTTCAGTGCAGATATGATGAGCTTGAGCCAAAACTTGCAGCTAATTACCAGTGTCAACATAGCATACCTTAATTGTTTATACAACTGATGCTAAATCACACAGAGATTGGGAAATGGGAGAATGGAGGTATTATCTGTAGTTAATATTGTGACCAGAATGTCATGTTTAATTTGCTGATGCTTCTCTCCTTTTTTCCCCCCCCCCCCTCCAGTTTCTTAGAATAGCATGTCGCAACCCAAAAGTGGGTCAGAAGAACATGAAAGTTGTGAACAAACTTTAAAAATGGATTCTCCTTTAACCCTCATCAGTTCTCATGAAAACGTAACCGTTGTTGGTCTCATGGGGTAACTTGTTACCCTGCCCGCATGAACAAAAAGGAACCGGTGACAACAGTATAAATGTACCAAAAACTATTTATTAAGCATACAGATAGTTTGTTTGAAAGAGTATTTATGATGATTTGAACCCAAAATATTATTTAACTCGAACTATGAAAAAAAATTCATGTTTTGAAACTCTTAGAACAATTTGCTAAGTCTGCAGTTCACACCGTTTTCAAACTAACAATTCCAAAAACATTTCCTAACTGTTTTAACTAAGTATTGCATCACTCACAAAGCAGCAGTGATGTACTGTGGTGCACACAAATCGGTTATAATCTTTGCATTGTTTCTGGGTTTTGCGGTCATCTGTCCTTGGACAAAAAGCACAACATCCCCTTATGCTTGCAGAAGGTTCTACTGGGGTGCATTATGGCAATTTGTAATTTAGGGCAGTCAGACCAGACTTAACAAACTTAGACAGATTACATGTATCCATCATTCTTCGCTTTATTTGTCCATCGATCAACTCTTCTCCAAGCTCCTGAAAAAAAAAGAAAAGAGAAAAAACAAACGCCGTCTTCTTAAATGTGATCTTTGCTTCCAGTTTGCGTTGTGTCCTAGCCAAATGATGAGGCTGGCAATGGCAACCACATCCAACATATTAAAAACTAGTGTCATTGGCCACATGTTGGTTTTCCGTCTGCAGGTGGGCATACGGACTAAGTGGTCAAGGTTATCTACCCCACCCTTCTTTTATTTTTTTTATAGTCATGGATGATGTCCAGCTTTCTTTGCTCTCCACCCACTAACAGGTCATGGTGCAATGCTTAACAGCCACAGCACAACTTTGGACTTCTTTGGAACATAGGAAACTAGGGTGAGTTCCCCATTGAAAGGAAAAACGGATGAAAAAGTTTCCCTTCGATTTTTCTTGCATTTTTCATTTGGGATATTGGCCTTGTTTTTCTGAATCGTACCTGCATAGGTCAAGTCCTGCTGTAGCAGTCTTTCTGCCAAGGCAGTACTTGTGAAGAAATTGTGATGACAATATTCCTTCCTGCCTTGTACCAGGGATGAACCAGTTTTTCAATGGCCTGGGTACCAAGATTACCTTGGCATGGAGCTTCTGGTTGTTTGCCCAGGTAGATGTCTCCAGACAGGGGAACAATGTTGCTGCATCACTGCACCACCAAATTTTCAAGCCATATTTGGTAGGCTTGCTGGGCATATATTGCCTGAAGGGACAGTGACCCTTGAACGCAATTTGCTGCTCATCAGGTGTATTCCTGGAATATACCATTTCCTCAGCTGCTCCACAAATTGTGTCCAAATATCTCTGAAAGCAGCAAGCTTGTCCACAGCTCTCCTTTCCTCATGTGTCACCTTGTTGTCAAATCTCAGGTACTTGGCGATTTGACAAAATCATTTTAAACACATAGTGACACAGAAGCTAGAACACCCTGTGTGTTGCTCCCATGACTCCTCCAGTTCCTCGTGACCACTGTGGTATAGACCACTCGGCAGTAGGAGGCCAATGTAGGCTTTCAGCTCTCTTTCGTCTAGCTTTTTCCACTCCTTTCTATTTTCAGGATGGCTATCATTCCACTCCCTGAATCTTCTTTCTGCCTCTGTTTGTTTCTCTTATGATAATAGGACCTCTTGTGAGAGAAACAGGTGGAACATTTCCACCACTGTGTCTTTATTACTTTTTCTTGTTGGCCCAGCACTTAAGTGGGCTATGTTCTTAGCTGTTCTCTGGTGATGTATTAGCTGTGGACTTTTTCCCACGCTCTGCCATTCCTTCCTCTAAAGGTGTCATCATCTGCAGTGTTTTCTGGGGGGGCGTGGAAGTGGTTCTGCTCCACATCCTGCTGTAGCTCTCTTTGGTCTTCCATGGCAGCCCCGGGCTGGTCCTCTCCCCTTTCCCACTGAAAGTGTTGGCAGCACTTCTGCTTGTGGCACCAACTCCTCCTCACCTGAACTGGATGAAGCTTCCGTAGACACATGGTCTTCTTGCTCTGAACAGTCTCACATATCTGGAACAAAGTCAGCATCCTCACTGCCTTGGGATAAGATTTAATCAGTAGATGTGTCACTGTCTTCCCTGGCTACCTGTGCAAGACAGGCTTCAGCACCGAGGATGAGAAGAAGGCACATCCTGGACTGCAGGGGAAAAAAAGAAAAATTTGATTACTGCTGAATGCATGTAAATAAGAGTCAAAGACAAGCCTGTCCTCCTATGCTGTCACAGAAGCAATTCTGCCCTGCCCTATGGCAGTGCTGGTAGCACCCTCTCCTAGGCACAGAAGCCAAAGACCAGCATCCACCCTTTTCTGGAAAGCCAAATGTAGGTGGATGCTGTTTGGAAACCACGCATGCAGGGGCTTATTGAGAGCAGGTAAAAGGGGCATTGAGGGCGGTGTCAAGCCCTTACTGTTGAAGGGGATGGCATAGTGTACACTGTATTACGGTATGCTGTTGTTCCGTTTCTTCTCTGCTGTCCCTTTGCTCCTTGTCCTCACTTCCAACAAAGGCAGGGCAAACTAGCTTGTATGTTATGAAAGGGGCAGGTGAGGTGGAGTTTTGCCATGAGAAGAGAGAGCAGAAGTGGATTTGGGGGTGACAGGGGTTGGGTTGGTTTGGTTTGGTTTGGTTTGGTTTGGTTTTTTTGGCAAAGGGCAGGGTGTTTTGATGACCTTGCAGCCTGCAAAGAAAGTGGTTAGCAAAAGCATTCATCACATCTTCTGCAAAAGCAGAGTGGAGGATGGCCATCCATTAGTTACCATGGATACCTGAAGTGGACATGAATGAGGTGTGAATGAATGCTGACCTTTCAGATGCATCCACCAGAAGTGGCCAAACAGGTCTAGGCCTGTCATTTATACAAAAATTGGATTGGGGTAAGTTGTTACCCCATATGGAAAAACACATTCATGCCTGGGGTAACAAGTTACCCTGGGCAGCTTTTCATCCGCAGAGAGCAAACCATTCATGTAAGCTGGCTGTTCTTTGGAGATATTGTCACTGGCGCCGTAGTGTACAATGTCCTAAAAAGAATTTTTTGGAATTAATTAACTTTAAGATACTGCACAACATGTGTGTCTGGGGTAGGAAATTACCCCATGGGAATGTATGAAGGTTAAAGGAGAAAAATGTGGGGAAACCATGGCTTTTCCCTTGCCGGGCTGGCAGAGTTCCAGCCTGAGAGGGGCTGCTTGGGGTCGCCCATGGTCCACAGCCTTCCCCCTTCACCCCACCAATCCCATACATCCACCCCCCACTCCCTCCCCACCCCGCCCCACACACTGGAGGGCAGGGGGCACTGGGTCAGGACTGGTCACTGATGTTTTACAAATGGGTCCAGGTACAAAAAAGGTTGAGAACCACTGTCTTAGAACACAACTCTGCCCCTGTAGAGAGACGAGGCAACTGTACATATACTTCTCATTTACACTGAAATCTAATTAACTATTTTTAAAGCCTTTTATTCTGTTTTCCAGATGCAGAAATTTAACATTGAACCCGAAGTCTTCCTATTCTTAGTGAGTACACGGGCTGGAGGTCTGGGCATTAACTTAACTGCAGCAGACACTGTCATCATTTATGATAGTGACTGGGTAAGTTAAACAGTTTTTCAAATGTTTTACGTGGTCAAACTTTTTTAGTATGTTGCTACATTTTTTGTTTAGCAGCTTTCCTAGGTTATGGGCTATTGTACTTTTATAGATTACCAGGAAAAATTTTGTAATAAACTTAGTGTTCCGCATTTTTGGTTTTTACTGAATTTCACTGATAAACTACGTGACTTTTTTATTGAAGTCATTTGGTTTTTACTGATTTACATCCATTTTTCAGTTCAAGTCCCTGTTAACTGGCACAAGTGGGGAATGGAGGGTGCCGGTAAGCTAAAAGTGCCAGTTATGGCATAGGTTTCCAGCTGGGGAGGGAGCACGGTGGTGACGGCTGTTCACGGAGTGGGGGGAGGAGGGGTGGCAATGGTCATGCTGGGGCCAGGGTAGGGTGGCTGGAGCCACTGCCTTGGGACATGGGGCTCTCGGCTCTGACCCCAGGAGGAGCTGTGGGAATTGCTCCCAGGTTGGGTGGGTCCTAGCTGCACTCTGGCTGCGGCCCTGCCCCAGGCACTGGGAGCTGCAAGCCCCACCAAGGGGCAGGCAGGAGAGCCCGGACCTGCTCCCTGTGGCAGGTGCTTTACCTGGCCACTCCTGAATGGGCCCATGGGGATGGACCTGATGCCGGGGGGCGCAGAGCTCCCAGCTCTGACCCAAGGCGAAGCTAGAGGGGCCAGGTCAGGGTAATGGGGCGGGGACTGTGTGTGCCCAGACACCGGGACAACTCCTTCCTCCCCCCCAAACGCCAGGGCAGCCCGGCAGCAGACTGTTGCAGCAGGGGGAAGGGGCACGAACGCGATCAGGGAAGAAAGCAGTGGGGCATGGCACTATGTGCGCCTTGCCATTGAAATTCCAGTTAATGAAGTTTTCTGGTTAGTAAAATCCCTGATAACAGGGATTTTACTGTATTTATTTTTATGAAATGCCATCCCGATAGATGGTTTGTGTTGCAGCACTGAAGCAATTCTTAAATGTATAACTCTCACTCCAGATACACAATGGATCCAGTCAGATTAAACTGTGTTTAATATCGCATCGTGATTGGCTCACGTGACAAACAGGTGCTTAGTGCTTCTGTTTAATGTGGGGCTGAATAAAAACATACACGGGGGGGGGAAAGTAAAAGATGAGTAGAAAGTGCAAATCTCTCTGTGAATATAGCCATAAAAATCAGTGTTTAGAAGTTTTCAAAAAGAGTAAACAGAAAGATGAAGAGGAAGATGCATTGCGCTGCAAGTACTGTGGCATTGAAGTCAGTTCTTACGCTGACAGGGTAAAAAAAGATGTAGAAAGCAAGCAATACATTTAAAATTAAAGAAGAATGTGAGATTAGGGGTAAACAGGCCATATCTGGAGCCTTTAGCAGGGCATTAATGAAAGAGAGAACCCAACACGACTGTGTTTAATGATTTTGTGCGTGCTATTTGTTTTGCTGGGCAACCACTTTCTCGCAGAAGGATCGATCAGTGACTTTGCTGCTGGACAGTATTGTTGCACAAAAACTCTTCCTAATGCAGACAGCCTCACTTAAGTACCTGAGAGAAAATGACGAAGCTGTAGTATTTAAAGTGATTGAAAGAATTAATGGAAATGTGGTGTCTAGTTTGTTTTTTTGATGAATTCCCTGACGCGTTGGACCACCCGAATTTGGTCTTTTTGTCTTCATTTTTTTTATTTCAAAGCCAAAAACCCTGCATTCTCACCCAAGGAACTTTGTGCAGATGTGACATTCATCCCATTTACTGATACCCCAAGCATTCAGGCAGCAGTAAATGCAGTGTTAGAGAGGTACCAACTGACTTGGGGGAAAATGTGGCCACCACTAACACGGATTCTGCCTCCTAAATGGCTATATTTTGGATTTTAAACTTCATTGCAGAACAACAGGGAAGTTTTTTTGCCTCCCTACTTGCCATCTGACACCTCCAGGGAAGCAATTCTACCTTATCTACACATCAAAGAGCTACTCAACACAGCTCACAAAGACACCCTCATGGACCCAGAGGTACAGACTTCCATCTTCATCTCCCTCTATGCAAAAATGAAATTTATTTCCTACCTGCAGGGACTTCTTACCATCGTGTACCAACTACACTTTTCCCAGAGTCTTATGAAGGGACTTTGATCCCGAAAGCTTGCAGAAAAGGACAGTTTTCTTGCCATTTTCCAGTTGTTCTAATAAAAAGTATCGTTTTGGAACCAAGCGTTCTAGTTTTTTGTATGTCCTATATGGCTAAGCTTTCATGGAAGAAAAAATTCAATCAGAAACCAGAGCTATTATGAGTTACTTGTCCCACTCATTTAATGTTGCACTATCATCAGCCACAGCTATTGAAGAAATGAGAGACATAAAATCTTTCATCATTGGATTTGGGGCTGTTTTAAGCATGCAAACAAGCTGAAGGCTTTGTTTTATGAAGTGCAAGATGACTGCAAACTTGACTGCCGATTTACTGACTCCTGTTGTGCCACATCAGTGAATGAGTTTCTACCTGGCTGCATGTCTTGTAAATAAGGCATGGACTGTGCTAATGTGTGTGTTAGATCACCCTGAGTTTGTCAGTGCTAAAGCAGAAACTCTGAAGAAAGAGGCAAATAATCTCAGTGGACACCAGATCCTGCACACCAAGGTCACGTTCATTGCTGAGAACCTGGATTCACTGTCTGAAACTCTAAAAGCAGTGGAGTTCTCCCCTGCTGCCTTCACCACGACATTTTTTAATACAGATGTTCACCACATACTGACAACTAAAATATCATCTGAATTGAACACAAAAGCTACAACAGAAACATACGGTGAGAAAACGCAACAGTTTCATTAAATCCTTCTGACCTCGGAACACAAAAGAACCAAAAAAGCTTTCAAAGACTTCAACATTATTCTCTGTGGAAAATAGCAGGTGACTATAACATGTAATTTGAACCCCGACGATTCATTATGGAATGTCATCCAGGTGTTGAACCCCTTCCTCAAGATGAATTTTGCAGCAGACTATGACCGCTATGGCAAAGTGTTTCAACCATTTGCCACCAAAGATGAAATTTCACATCTTAAAAGTGAATACACTACCTACATGAACATGCCTGTCCCTGACGATGTGGAACTGGATGTGCTGGTTACTTTCCAACTTTAGTAAAATTGCACAACAAGCTTTGAGTGGTAGCCCCCAGATCAGTGGATGCAGAACGCTTATTTTCAAAACTGGACTACATCCAAGAGAGCAAGAGGCTGAATATGAGTGAGGATACACTTAAGAAAACCATGTGAGCCTATGCAAACCAGGATTTCTGGAAAAATGATTAGTTTTGATGGGACACAAAAATTAGTTTGTATATAAAAAGTTTAGCCTAACCTTACTATTCTTTGTCCTTTTTGTAATAATTCAAAATCAGTTCTGAATTGCGAGGTAAATATGCAAGGTAAGTTCACTCTCATGTGATCAGCATAGGCACCCCTCCCCCCCTCCTCCCCCCCCAAACCAGGATTTCTGGAAAAATGATTAGTTTTGATGGGACACAAAAATTAGTTTGTATATAAAAAGTTTAGCCTAACCTTACTATTCTTTGTCCTTTTTGTAATAATTCAAAATCAGTTCTGAATTGCGAGGTAAATATGCAAGGTAAGTTCACTCTCATGTGATCAGCATAGGCACCCCTCCCCCCCTCCTCCCCCCCCCCCCCCCCCAGGGAAGGGCAGGGCTATGGGGAGGGAGGCATGGCACGACCTGTCAGCCACTCGCTGGGCTGCAGCAGGGAGCAAAGCGGAGGGAACTGTCAGTGCATGTAGGGCAGGGGAGCGCAGCTCTTGCTGTCACACACCCCAAGTGGGCTGGGGGACTGTGCCAGGCTCTTCCCAGGGGGGCGCATGCCCCCGGATCTGCACGTGGGACAAGAGCAGACTCCCGCCTGCACCGATAACCGGGAAGAGCCCAGTACCTGCAGCAGCTGCACCCTGCTAAGCACCAGGAAGAGCCCCAGGCTGCAGGAAGAGCAGGCTGCCGCCTGCCCCAGCACTGGGAAGAGCCTGATGCCACTGCTGGCTCCAGTCCGCCACAGCAGCAGGCTACAGCGAGAGCAGGCTGCCGAGCACCAGGAAGAACCCTGTGCTGCTGCCAGCCCCGGTTGGCAGCAGCAGCCTGCTCTAGTCCCACATGCAGATCTGGAGGCACGCGCCCCTCTAGGAAGAGCCTGACACAGCCCTCCCGGGGTGCACATAGCAGCAAGAGCTGCACCCCCACGCCTGCACCCACTGATAGTTCCTCCCACTTTGCTTCCTGCTGCAGCTCCAAGAGCAGCCAACGTGCTACACCGTGCCCATCGCCCCCACCCCTTCCCTAGTCCTAGACTTACTCCAGTCCCTATCTCCCTCACTGCTGCAGGAACGTATTATTATTTTCCCCAATTTTAAACCAATGTGGTTGGGTTTTTTCTTTTCTTCCTTTTATCCCAATTTCAACCTGGTTTTTATGTTTGGAAGATAAACCCTGAAAAATTCCCAGAATTTTTTAAAAATAAAAACCGAAAATGCAGAACACTGGGTAAACCAGGGGTGGGCAAAATGTGGCCCTCCAGACCATTATATCCAGCCCACGAGGCCCCTAAAAAATTTAGAAAATTAATAGTTATCTGCCCCTGGCTGCCTGTCATGCAGCCCTCGATGGCTTACCAAAACTTGGTAAGTGGCCCTCCGCCTGAAATAATTGCCCACCTCCTGAAGTAAACTTGGACTACAGCTTATATTTAGCGTGCAATAATAGTTCAGCAGTCTTTCATGCTCTTCACTACCTAATGTTCAGCAGGCTTTCATGCTCTTCACTACCTAATGTCATAACTATGATAGCTTTGAGCCAACTCATTTGTGAAAGATAGATAAACAAATTTATACCATGTCTCAAAGTACTTTAGTAAAAGGCTGGTTTCCATGATAACTAAATAGTTGGTTCCATCATCCATTTCAACTGTAAAACCTAACTTGTTTTTTCAGTTTTATTAATGCAATTAATTGTGCACACTCTCCCCAGAAATTGAAATGATCTCTTCCTCTTTCTGCAGCATGAAAAATGATACATTTTCAGCTTGAAAGCCTGTAGAGTCAAGTGAGTGAAAGTAAAGTCCATTGTGCATCTTTATCAACAAAGTGATTTTTTTTTTTTTTTAATCCCTTTAGAATCCCCAGTCTGACCTTCAGGCCCAGGACAGGTGCCACAGAATCGGCCAAACTAAACCAGTTGTTGTGTATCGCCTTGTAACAGCAAATACTATTGATCAGAAGATTGTGGAGAGAGCTGCTGCCAAGAGGAAGCTAGAGAAGCTCATTATCCACAAAAGTTAGTAAATTTACTCCACTTTTTTTGTATTACTCCATTAAAACCCAGTCGAGAATTCTTGCCGCTGTAGCTTGTTGCTTTTAGTGATCCTAGTCAGTTGTGAAAAACTTCTCCTTTTCTTTTCAAGAGTCAAAAGCAATCTCTTTTCTAAAGGCATTTGTTAGCCCATTGTAGCTGATTTCTGCTGCAGATTTAAAGTAAGACTTTTCAGGCTTCAGAAGAACTAAGGGTCATCATGCCACATCTGATGACCAGGGAGAAGGAGGAAGGTTTGCTTTTCAGGAATCAAAAATGGAAGGGAGCCAAGCAGTAAGGTATTTGAGTTGTTAAAGTAGTTGCTGGGGAGTTGTAGATAAGTGTCAGCCAGATCAGCTTCCTGGCTGATCATTTTTCACCTTAAGGGAAAAGAAATGTCTGACTGCATTGGATAAAATTTGATTATTTTTTTTTAATTAAAGAAAAATATATTTAAATGTAACTGAATTTTAAAATTTGTAACCTGCCCTATATTCTGCCCTCCCCAATCTAATGTGTGTCCTACAGAGAGGCTGCCTGTGGCACCTGTGTTGCAGCTTGGCCAGCCCAGGTCTAAATAATAAACTAGTGCTAGTTTTGAGTGAGATGTTGAACTAGGCATCTTTTTATTATTACCCCAGTCTCTTTTTATACTCCACTTGCTATCATGGTGCTTCTGTCTGCCAGCGAGCTACTAAGATTTCATGGTCAGTTAAAATATGAGAAAAGCATCTTTCAGGAATGTCTTTGCCAGAAATTCAACTTTTGGTCTAGTTTGCACGTAGAGCCAAAACGGGAAGAGTCATTTGAATGCATCAAGGAATCAACCCATGAAATGGTGAAACCATCCAGTACAGAGTTAAATATGAAAGGAGAGAGCAATAACACGGGACAGGTTGCCAAGCAGACTTACCAATTTCATTAAGCAAATACTTGTTTAATTGTTTACTAACCACTGCTAAGCCCAAATTTCAGTGGCTTCCTTTAGGAACCCTTGCCTCAATGCCTGGGGACCCTAGTAAAGGTTTAGGGAGGACTGCTGTGATCACCTAACTAAGTAATCTGATGGTACCTTCTTGCCATAAATATAAAAAGCACGTAAAGTTAATTCCATCCTCTTTTGACCCTGCAAAGATGCTTTAGACATGTTTTAATGGTATCTAGCCCCACAGCCTTCTGAAACCAAAATAACTTGAGTTCAAATTTGTTACAAACCAGCAGAGCTGTGAAATCTTAGTGTCAAGATCCTTTTCATTTTATTTGTTCTTTATCTAAAAGGAGGATACTTAAGAATCTTCATTAAAAAAGCCCTAAGGTATTTTACAATTGCATGGATCGGGCTTGAAGTAAGGAAATGTCAGAGTAGAGTTAAATTATATATGCAAACTTCTCTGCACACCAACACATATTATGACGGTGTCTTTATAAGAATTTTCTCAGCATTTCACATATTTCTACCATCCTAGATGCATTCAGTCTAACACCATACTGCTACTAATCTCTTCATACTTCACAGGTGATAACTACACTCTCCCTTCCTGAATAATCTCTCTCTGCACCTCCCTAGGTTGCCTTATACTACTGCATTTTATCTTCATAATACCTCTTCACTCCTAATTCACAGCCCCTTTGTTTGCATTTACATATGGAGTCTTTTCTCTGCTATTTAACTCAGTTTGCATCTGTCTCTTGGATCAAAGGAAGGGCACTTGCTGCTGAATAAGCTTTCAGGCATTTCTTCCAATTATACAGCTAGTCCAGTAAAAAGAAACCTAAAAAATCCTTGCTTTTTATACAACAGTAACATATTAAATATGAATACATTACTTCATGTGAGAAGTGTATGTAGTTAAGTAGTAGAATCATTTAAATATTATATGTATGTTACCCAGAGAAATAGCAAAAGCTGTGTTAGTGGATATTTGTAAACCAGACCTGAGCAAGGGCAGAGGAAGTGGCTAAGGGAGGAGGTGAGATTGAGCAGCTGCATCTGTAAGTGGCAGGGTTGGGCAAGTCTAGTGATAACAGGAAGCTACAATGTTAGTCCCCCTTGATTTGTCTGCTTTTCTTGTCTTTGTCCCCAGTTAACTTTGGCCAGTTGGAAGTAATCTTATGTTTTTGACAGACCTTGATAACCGATCCAAATGATGGCTGGTTTTTTTGAGTCTGTCAGTACTTACCCACGAGTATCCTAGTATTTCAGATGAGTCTGGACCTCTTGTTTTTATAACATCAGTACTTAGATGTCTAGTAACGAGTTGCTTAGAAACTTCCCTTCTATTTACACTCAAATGTATTGGATATTAAGAAATGTTAGTCTGAACAGTTGCATCTTATTTACTAAATATATTGAGAGAAATTAGTCTCTAATAAATCATAAGCATCTTTCACTGCTTCTCTGTTCTGTAGTTGTAACCTTCCTTGCTTTTTCAATCAGCTAATGTTATAATGGGAACAAACGTCAACCTTCTCCATCTAATTTTAATTGCAATGTTTTTACTGTAAGTAGAACTAATACCTTTTCTGTTGTGTGCGTGTCACTGCTCTTTCCAAACCATTTCTTTGCATGCCAAAATTAGTGACAGGTGTACATGTAAGAGTTCTGTGCAATGCTGTATTTTTTTTTTTTTTTGACCCTTCAGCTTAGTAATAATTTAGGCATGTTGTATGTATTTGGATAAACGGTGAAGCACAATATTCACTATGTGCTGTTGTATCGATGTGCAGTATGTCCAAAATAGTTGATTATCTGTTTTTTCAGCACATGTTAAATGTGTCAGTTTACAAATCTAGTGGCTGCCTTTTATAGATTTTCTTATATGGGGGGTTTTCTCTCTGCATAGATCAGTTTAAAGGTGGTAAATCTGGGTTAAGCCAATCAAAGAGCTGCTTGGATCCTCAGGAATTAATGGAATTACTGAAATCAAGAGATTACGAAAGGTATGTTTCCACATTTTGTTTTATTCCCCACCCATCAGCTCTCAATCTGTGGAATGTAAGTAAGTGTCAGATCACCACAGTGGCTCTGCCCTTTTCATGATGTTAAATGGCATTCAGGTCTGTGCCAGAGGAAAGGAAGGGAGGTCCTTGGGGAATTCTGATATTGTTACAGGGTGTCACTGGCGGGGTTACCCTGGATTTCTGTTCACAGCTGGCTCCTCACTCCCCTTTCACTCACCTGCCATGCCTTGGTGTTAAATAATTGCAGTAAGTTGCCTCACCCCAGAGAGGGTGGTGATTTAAAGCCAGGTGGCACTACCTCATCCTTATATGTATCATTACTGACAATGGTTGGGTCCAGACCCTCTTCCAGGGCCTCAACCTTTCTTCTTCCTTTCAAGGTCCCACCTTGCCCTGGCCAACAGTCCTAATTCTGTCCCGTCTGTGTCTCAAACCTAGAACCCTTGGTTCCATTGGCCAATGAATCAACCTCTGGGCCAGGTCCCTTAGTTCTCAGCCTTTGCTGCCCTGATAAGTCCCAGTCTCAAGGCAAGCATTCACAACCTGCTGAGGGTCAATTTCTGCAGAGTCTCTTGTCTCCATACAGTGCTTTGCTACTTGGCCTCTATATCACCCCTTACGGCCATGTCTGTTCCACCAGTTGTTATCAACAGAGATTTTTAATAGACTGCCCTGCCATTTTGAGCTACCAACAAAGTTGCAGACATAATGGCCCCCTTGTTAACTTTTTGGGCTCAACAGAAAAAAAAATCTACACAGTTTACCGCCAGTGAGATCCATATGTCTTCAGGTCCATGCCCCGTGTGCCCCAGGGCTCTGCTAGCCAGCTTCTGGGGTGTCTCCCCTCTCCCCCTCAAGGGCAAGTCAGTCCTGGTTCTGCTACTAGGCCTTTCCTCTCTCCCCCTGGCAGGGACTAGCTTTTGTACAGCCAGGCCTATCCTCCTTTCTGGTCACCTGACCACCCCACCCCGCCTTACACCAACATAGGAAGTTCTTGTTCGCAACCTGCAGTCTCAAGGAGGGGTGGGTATGCATGTTGTCCCCAGCTGCATATTTTCACTCCTGCCTTGAACGGTCCTTATCTTAAAGGGACCAAGTTCTGTAGCTCTGTTCCATGGTCTATACCCTGTTACAGTATGGAAAAGTTTGGACTGCTGAATTAGTCCAACTGTAACTTGGTTTTACATTGTATTATTTTCTCTTATTTCTGTAGAGAGGTTAAAGGATCCAGAGAGAAAGTAATCAGTGACAAAGATTTAGAGTTACTGTTAGACAGAAGTGATCTTATCGGTAAGTAAAGCTTATTTGGTCTGTCTTTCCTGTTTGACAGTAAAATATATCTATATGTCTGTGTCTGTCATCTGGAGTCTGTTGTCTGGGGTCTGTCATCTATCCAAAATCTGACATGGGTAGATATTTCAGTTCCTATACTGCCAGAAACTGTGGGGCACCCCTCAACAAATATCATATTAAATCCCTATAATGAGTATTCAGCATAAATACAAAGGGTGCTGATGTGTACGCTTGCCTCTTACACTGACAACTTAAGCTAGTTAAGAACATTTTTGAGGAGCAGTGGGGAGTAGAATGCCAGTTCATCAGAACAAACTGCTCTTGACAACGGGTTTCTTTTAGCAAATTTCCCATTTCAGAATTTTTCCAAAATACAGTAAAAGCCATGTTATCTGGCACCTTACAAGCCGGCACGCTCTACTAACTAGCATGCTGGCTTGTAAGGTAAAGTGAAACCGGAAGTGCCAACCATGGCACTTCCGGTTTCTCCAAGCCCCCATAGCCTGAGGCAAAGCAGCCTGCACTGCCAAGCCCCCACAGCCTGAGGGAATAACAGTCTGCGTGGGGCCCGCCTCTCTGTCCTGCAGGGCCCACGGGAGGGTCAGCAATGTTGCAGGAGGGGTGGTGACGCCCCAGACGCAGCAGGAGAAGCAGCGGCCCAAACAGGTAAGGACGCCTGTTCGGGCTGCTCAGTTAACCGGCATATTTTGTTATCCAGCATCTTCCATTCCCAGGGGATGCCGGATAACAGAGCTTTTACTGTATTCCATTTCAGCATTTTTAGCTACCTTCCGTATTTTGAAATATAAACTACATAAACTACTTAGTTTTAAATGTGAAACGCATATACTGATGACACATTTCAGTGGACCCAACCCATTTTTTTTCCAAATTGCAAATATTTTGAGACTTTTTTTAAACTTCAGTAGGCATGGGAAACTTTAACAACTTCCCCATGATGGGTAAAATGCTTCCTGTCCAGCTTTGTTCATTAGTAATATTTTGACCTGTTGTGTGTTTCATTCAGCATCATTATATTCGTGGGTACCATTTACCATACTTAAGACAAAGATAAATCGCCACAGGATTTACAAATGCAAGTCAAAGCCTGTGTCCAAAAAAACATTTGCCTGATTCTAGTACAGTGTACTTCATCTCGTATAGCTTTGGGACTCAAAATGGGCTATATGCTTATTTAGTGTATGTATTTATCCAAACTTAATGTAAACCATTAATTCTCATTAAGTTCATAGCCTTGCCTTGGTATTAGCAGCCCTGAAACTGATAGGATTGGCTAAGATGTTGCATGTTTTGCTATGAGTAAGTCACAAAAGAACATTTTGTTATATTACCAGAAGAATTTGTCTGGGTGTACAGCACGTTGCCGTTAGAGCTAGATTTTACTAACAAGTCTGCAATTTAACTGCATGTGTCTAGGAGGAAAATTATATGTAAAGATTTAAAACTTTTTATTTAGGTGGAGAACTCTGTTAGAACTTGCTTCTTCATTCAGCCTTACTGTGGTGTTAAAGGCTGCATTTCCTTTCCTTTAAAAAAAATAATATAAAAGGAGGAAACTAATTAATTCAGACTAAAAACAACTGGTAATTCATTGAGATCTAGCTGATGCATTGTGTTCGGTGGGTTCTTCTGTTGTGGGAGGGGGTTCATTATTGTTTCATTACAACGTGCATCTAACTTGCACACTCGGGTAGTTTAGGTTTTGATGGGGGTTTTTTGTTTTTGTTTTGGGGTTTTTTGTCTTGGTATTCTTATGACTGGGGTGGACCAATAGAGATTTTGGAGTCCGATACAGATAGCCGATTTTTAAGGAGGCATATCGGCTGCTACCAATCCGATACAGCTGCCATCAGCTGGTAAATCCGGTGTGGTGGAAGTGGGGGGCAGATCAGCACCCCCTGTGATGGAGGGGGCAGGGGCAGGCACTGCCCAGCCTGGGGGGGGGCTGCAGCTTATGGAGTGGGGGTGGCTCCTGCCTCTGCTTGCACCCCGGTAGGGCATGAGGGAGGCATGTGCCCCTGGATATGTGTGGTGCGGGGCAGGCAGCAGCTGTGGGGTGGAGCCAGGGTTATTTTTCCTGGGGGCTGGGCTTGGAGCGAGCTCCAGCAGTGCTGAGGAGGCTGCAGCCACCACAGATTTTACCTCTGCTCCCAGCCCTGCACTGCCGCCTAGCTCAGTCCTGGCTTTTCCCTTCGCTTGGTGGAGGAGGGGCATTCAGCCGGGGCTGCGCCAAGCAGTGGCACAGGGCTAGGAGTGGAGTGGCTGGAAAATTTAAGGTGGCTGCAGCCTCCACCCTGCGCCGCTAGAGCCCTCTCTAAGCCCAGCCACCAGCAAGAAAAGCCCCGCACAACACTGGCTGCAGCTCCACCCTGCAGCTGCTGCCCGCCCTGCGCCACATAGATCCGGGGGCACACTCCACAACCCTACCCAAGTCGCAGCTCCATCCCATGCCCCTCCTCGCCACCTGGGAAGCACCTGCCCCTGCCCATTCCCTCCCCACAGGGGGCATTGATCTGCCTTCCCTTACTTTCCAACTTACCAGCTGGAATTACACGCTGCTGGTTCTGCTCCGGTATAGACAATTTTCTTCATATCAGTACCAATCTGATATCGGACCGATGTACACCTCTACTTATGACCTTTCAGTGACCTTTAAAACATAGAAAGAATCTTACAACCAAACCAGAAGTTCAAATCGGAAATTGTCTGGATCCCAAGAAATTTGATGCTGTTTAAACACTGTTAACATGCATGATTAACCCATTAACAGGTTCTTGCATTAATTTTTTGAATGCGTTAATTATGCATATGGTTTTGGAGCCTACACCCAGACTCCAGGCTGCCTAGCAAAGCAGCAGTGGCAGTGAAAAAGACTGCAAGGCAGCCTAAGCATGGGCTCCAGGCTGCTGCAGCAGGAAGGGGTGGGGGACACAGGCAAGCAGCCGCAATGGACATGTGACCAGGCATGCAACCCGGCGTCATGTAGACTAGTGCCCAGCAGGTAAGTCGGGGGGGGTGGAGGCATAGATCGAGGCCCCCAGTGAAGGAGGGAGTGGGGCAGGGACTGAGGTGAATGGGGCTGGGGCAGGTCATGGGACAGAGCCACAGGGGGACGTGGCTTTCCACCACTGTGTGCACCCCCAGGGGAGGCATGCAGGGCATGTGCCCCCAAATTTGTGTGTGGGGCAGAGGCAGGCTGGTTGTTGCACAATGCTATGTTGTGCCTCCCACCACCAGGCAGGCAGGGGACATGCAGTACAGCCAGCGCATGGCTCCCAAGGCAAAGACAGCAGGGCACAGAGCCTCAGCCCGCCTCTGCCCTGTGCACAAATATGCCCCTTCCCCCAGGATGCACCACAGTGGTGGAGAGCCATGCTCCCCCCACGCCTCAGACAAGCCGCCTGCAGCTCTGTCCCACTCCTAGCCCCAGGGCCCCATTCACCCCAGCCCTTGCCTCGGGGGGCAATATGATTGGGGGAGGGGGGTAGTGATATGCCCTGCCTCTGTCCCTCACTACCACCCCTGCCCTGCTGCTGCCTCTCACTCCTGAACCTCACATCCTGCCAGTGTGCGCAGGGACCCCCCTCCCCAGTCTCCAAACCACACACACACCAGCCAAAGTACCTGCATAATTTTGTGTTTTTCTGGCATATTTGTGTTTTTTAGCTGTGCAATTAAAATCACAACTAATTGTGACTAATTTTTTAAATCATGCAACTAATCACAATCAGTTTTTTTTTTTTTTTAATTTGACAGCCCTAGTTTTTTATTTTAAGGAAAAAAATGCGGCTAAGCCTCTTGCTTTACATCATTTTACTTCTGATCTGAGACTACTGACAACTTTGTCAATCTTTTTCTCTTAGACCAAATGAAAAGGTCCCAAACAGTTAAAAAGGAAAAAGTGGGTGTCTTCAAAGTCTTAGAAGATTCAGAAAACTCCAGCGTAGAATGTGTTTTTTGAAGTGTGACTGGCCTCTAAGCTACATGCAGCTGAAGTCAGACCGTGCAAGGCCATCATTTTACAATGATTCGTTACACTGATTTTTAAAGCTGGTTTAAAATGTTATGCTTTTATGTGATTTGTAACATATCTAGTAGTCTCATACTTGTAACTTTGTTAATCTAACATGAACAGTTCACAAAATAAACACATTACAGCCTGTCAGTTTTTTATGATCCAGTGGCAAACACTGCCAAATTTGTACAAATCTTCCTGTGGAAGTCTTGCTAAGCCTTTTGTTCTCTACAAGACAAAGTATCAATGGTTTTTATTTGGGAGGGGAAGAATTTTTAGTGCATTTGTTTACAACCAGTTGTGTAACTTCAGTAAAACTTTTTGATAAAATTGTCCCTTTGTCCTCCTGAGTGGTGTGTTTTTGTTCTGTTTTAAGTGGGGGGGAAAATGTTTTGCTAGTTTCATAGCAGGAAAGACTACTGGGATTAGATGACCCCAGCAAGATGGTTATCAAGACCAGTTTTTGGAGATCACCAGGTTGGATGACTGTACCACCTGTGGCAGGAGCCTGTTCCAAACCCTCGGGACTTGACTTATAAAGAAGTTTTTCCTTATGTCTAGCCTGAAATGATCCTCAATCAGCTAGTGCCCATTATTTCTTGTCCTCCCCTTGGGGGGCCTTGGTGAACAGATGCTCCCCCAGGCCCTGATGTGTATGTCCTTCATATACTTATAGGCTGCTTCCAAGCCCCCTCTGAGGCTTCTCTTCTTCCGGCTGAACAGCCTTCCTGCCTTAAACTACCCCCACTCTAGAAACTTAGGGCAAATAATCATTAATATAATTTCTATTTTGGACTAATCGTATTAATGGAGCATGGATAAAGATTTTTCTTGGTTGATACCAATAGCTGATACCCATCCAATAGCTGATTTACAGGAATGCAGCCTGGCAGCTTGGAGATCAGCATCCTGCTGGTAAGTCTGTGGGAGGAAAGGGTTGTTGGGGCAGGGGCAGGCACAAGTGCTGCCCAGCCAAGGGGGTGGGACGGAGTTGTGAATGGCTCGTCCAGGGAGCACAGGTGGGGGGGCTCCCTGCTGCTGTGCGCACCCCCAGAGGAGGCATATTCCCCACCCTCCAGATTTGTGTGCAGGGCAAGGGCAGTCTGTACCAACCTCCTGGCAGGAGGCCTAGGTTTGGCGTGGCTCAGTTGCACAGGTCAGGAGGTGGCACTGGGAAGGGTGGCTACAGGGGGCTATCAGGAATTTTGGGGTGGCCATAGCCCCCCAAGCCATCACCCCTGCTCAGGGCATTCTGCTCTGCTGCCTTTCCCTTGGCAGCCCTGGTGCCTTGAGCAGGGGCGGTGTTAGGAAGAGGCTTAAGGGGGCTATGGCCACCCCAAAATTCCTTGTAGGTGCCACCCCTTTCAGTGCTGCCACCACCACCTGCCCTACACAGCTGAACCCACCCCAATTACCCATCCCCTCCCTTCCCCCCAGCTGGGAAGAAGCTGGGACAGCCCCTAGCTCCGAGTCCGCAGTGAGTAACCCGCCCTCACCACACGCACAAATCTGGGGGAGAGGGCACACCCCTGCCCGACTCCCGCACCATGGGGGCCTCAATCTGCCCCTATACCCTTTCCCTCCCCCAGACTTACCAATAGGGCACTGCTCTCAAAACTGCTGGACTATATGCATGCGGCATTTATCAGTGACATTATCAGCCAAAAAAAGCTGATTTTTAGAGGCAAGAGTTTTTTGGGGGGTTATTTTATCTTTATTGAACCAACTGGATAGTTTGAATAAAGCTAGACAAGGTTTTGAATGCAAGACATTCATCAAGTTTGTAAAGTCATGCTGTAGGTCATGCATTGTCACCACCTGGCGGTCTCCACAGGTAGGGCATGCTCAGTTGGGTGGATGGGATGGGGCTGTGGGTGGGGCCAGGGCCTGAATCTTGTGACAGCACAGGACTGGAGTTGAGGGTCTGCTCCCAACGCCCCTGCCTGCTACGCCTGTGCAAACCGGTTAGTATGCATTTCAGATTAGGATGATTCAGGGGACAGTGATTCAATTTGGTGATTCAAGTCACTGTCCCGAATCGATTTTGGGAGAATCCAATTCAGAGATTTGGCCGCAGCTGAATCAGCCCCATCCTCTGCTGGTTCTCAGTGGCCGCCCTGCCCGCTCTCCCAGCTCCTGGCTTTTTGAAGAAAAAACCACACTCACTGACTCCTACTGGCGGGGGGCTGAGTTGGGGGTTTTTTGTTTTTGTTTTTTAGAGCTGGGGCAGGTAGGGCAGCTAGAAGGGGGCTGGGAGAGTGGGCAGGGGTCAGGGGGACTCATGGCAGAGCCTCCCATGCAGTGGAGAGGGGGCAGCAGGGATCCCCCCCTGCCTGGCAGCAGCCAGTAAGTAGGAGCTTTTTTTTTTTTAAGAGCTGGGAGCTATGGGGGCTGGGGGAGGCAGGGCAGCCATGGTGAGGCTGGGAGAGCAGGCAGGGGATGGGGCCTGGCAGGGGTCCCCCCTCCCCCACCCCTTACTTACCAGCTCTGAGTCCAGGTCCAGCTCCCCGCTGCAGTGAGTGGGGACTGCCCGAATCACCAAACATCTCCGAATCTTTTCCGAATCAATTCCAAGAGCTTCAAATCAATTCACACCTTTTAATTTGTCTTCTGATTCAATTCAGATTCAGAAATTCGGCCACTGAAACAGGCCGAATCTCCTCCAAATCAAATCAGCACCCGAAGCTTTGCACAGCCCTACTGTCCACAGAACCAGCACCGATCATGGGAATGAGCAGAGCATTGATTGTGGCTCTGCCCTGGTTCCCAGATGCTGCTCCCTGCCTGTCTGCTGCCCCATGCCATCCGCCCAGCCAAGTAGGCCATGCCCATGCAGGTACCAGGCCACTCTATGGAGACTCACTCCATCCAGTGCCCCCTGATGGTGGGTGCAGGGTGGATGGACCAGGCAGCAGGGCCCTGTTGTATGGCCCCTAGTGATGCCGCAAGTCGGATTAGACCAGGGGCGGGGAAAATCCGGCCCACGAGGCCCCTAAAAATTTTAGAAAATTAATATTGATCTGTCCTTGGTTCCTGTCAAAAATGACACCGGGGTTGTGGGGCCAGCACTGACGGGGCCCAGAGCAGGGTGGCAGGAGTCCCGGCTGGTAGAGGCTCTATGGAGCCGGGCCAGCTCCCCGCTCTCCCTGCTTGTGAAGACCAGCCCAGCTCTGCAGACCCCTGCTAGCCTGCACCCTGCTCTGGCCCCCACCAGTGCTGGCCCTGAAACATTGGGACATTGGTCCCAAGATGGTGACCAGGGGGTGGGGCACCTGGCAAGGGGCAGGGCTACCCATGCAGCCCTTGACAACTTGCCAAAACTGGGTAAGCGGCCCTTCGCCCAAAATAATTGCTCGCCCCTGGATTAGAGTCATGTGGGGCAAAGTGCACTTGTGGCACAGGGCAGTCTGAGCTGGATCTGGCCTATAGAC